CCCCCTGCAGCGTTACAGGCTTGGGGAAGTGTGGCTGGAAAGCTGCACAGCAGAGAAGGACCTGGGAGTGCTGGTCGACAGACAATTGAACATGAGCCAGCAGTGTGCCCAAGCAGCCAAGAAAGCCAACGGAATCCTGGCATGTATCAGAAACTGTGGCCAGCAGGAGCAGGGAAGAGATTGTCCCCCTGTATTCAGCACTGGTGAGGCCACACCTTGAGTACTGTGTCCAGTTTTGGGCCCCTCACTTCAAGAAGGACATTGAGGTGCTGGAGCGAGTTCAGAGAAGGGCAACAAAACTAGTGAAGAGAACAAGAGGCTCGGGGGGGACCTTATCGCTCTCTACAATTACCTGAAAGGTAGTTGTAGGGAGATGGGGGTCGGTCTCTTCTCCCACGTTATGAGCGACAAGACGAGAGGGAATGGCCTCAAGTTACACCAGGGGAAATTTAGGTCAGATATCAGGAAGAATTTCTTTACAGAGAGGGTTGTGAGGAATTGGAACAGGCTGCCCAGGGAAGTGGTGGAGTCCCCATCCCTGGAGGTGTTTAAAAACTGTGTGGATTTGGTGTTGAGCAATATGGTTTAGGGACTCTTAACAGTGCAGGGTGAATGGTTGGACTTGATGATCTTGAAGGTCTCTTCCAACAAGACGATTCTATGATTCTATGAATCTATGATTCTATGATACTACCCCGTTGCAAATAATTATAGGACAAAAAAGTGACATTTGTCACATAAAAGGTTGTGTGGTTAATAATTCAGTTGGACTGATGTCCATTGTTCTCGTCACTAATCCACCATTTGGATAAAAACAGGATTTGGATATTTTTGACTGCAATATCCATTTTATTTAGTTCTTCATCTTCTGTCACCACTGTGTCTCAGCAAGTATTCATACATTTATCCTTACAACACTGGTAAAATATCTATTTTCCCTCTTTACACTTGGGGAAAAAGAGGCACAGAAAGATGAAATGAGATTCTCAGAAGAGTCTAACTTCAGATTTTGATTTACTCAGCATTCACAATCACTATCAAACTTTGAAAAGGTCTCTGCTTTCCCTCAGGAATTGAAGAACCTCCGTTCAACTGTGCCCTGTACCCCATGGTTCCCGTTGAGACATTGACGCTGAAAAACTTCCTAAGCAAGCTGGTGTCTCTTCCAAGCCTGTTCCTGAATGACTTACCTAATGTCATCAACACAGTCAAGAACCAAACTTTGATCTTTTCCTGTGCTCCTCTGATACTTTAACAATAAACCTCCCTTGTTTCCCATTGCTTCTTCTGTTTTTTATTTGAGTCTTTTGTAAGGTCATATTAAAACCAGCCTGTTTTCAACAGCCCTTCAACACTACCAAGAACAACTAACTTTGCCAAAGAAAAGGCTTGTAATGGGATCCTCTAGAAGGTTTTCTAAAACCTGTCTGGGACATGCCTAAAGCTACAGTGGATTTACCCTGAACAGTAAGGGACTCCTTCATAGCTGCTACTTGCTGCGAACAGTGTCACCCTCCACTTTGCATCCCACCTGTGTCTGGGGGATCGATGCGCCTCTGGCACGTCAGCAATAAAGTCTAGAAAGGTACCGAAAACTATTTTGACATTGCAGATAAAAAGCATATATGTAAAATGAATGATGCTATAGAGAGAACTGATTTTCCCTGCAAAGAATGCAAAGGATTTCTGTATTTTACCACTTAAGCT